GAAGTGAGATTTCAGTGAAGTGAGATTTGATTATCGTAAGCTGAACCAGAAAACGAGAAGAGATGCGTTCCCATTACCTAGGATAGAGGAGAGTTTTGATGCCCTGTGTGATGCTAGGTTCTTCTCTAGTATTGATCTGGCGAGTGGATACCATCAGGTGGCAGTGGCAGAAGGGGATCAGCATAAGACTGCTTTTGTGACACCGTTTGGTCTATATGAACACTGTAGAATGCCAATGGGGGTGTGCAATGGACCTACAACCTTCCAAAGGTTAATGCAGGCAACTATGAATGACCTGATTTTCCAGATAATGCTGGTATATCTAGACGATATATTGGTGTTCTCGAACACTTTTACAGAGCATCTGGAACGGTTAGATATTGTATTGAGGCGTCTCCAGGAGACGGGTCTTAAGGTGAAGGTGGAAAAATGTCACTTTCTGCAACAGGAAGTGATTTTCTTGGGACATCAGATTTCAGCGAACGGGATAGCGACTGATCCTCACAAAATCTCAGCTGTGACACAATGGGCGGTGCCCGCAACCCTAAAGGAACTGAGATCCTTTTTGGGTTTTTGTGGGTATTACAGGAGATTTGTTGCAGGGTTTTCAAAGATAGCAGGACCGTTACATGACTTGGTGAAACTTTGTGTGAATGTGGGTCCACCAGCTAAAGTAAATCAATTGCTGGTGAGCTTGTGGAATCCGGAATGTCAGTCTGCCTTTGAGACCTTAAAAGAAAGACTCACTTGTGCACCAGTTCTTGGCTTCGCGGATTTTGGGTCTCCGTTTATTGTTGAGACTGACGCCAGTAGCCATGGATTAGGTGCTGTTCTTTATCAGCAGCAAGGTGGCATGAGGCGAGTGATTGCATATGCCAGTAGGAGGCTAAGAGAAGCTGAAAAGAATGATAAAAACTATAGCAGTATGAAATTAGAACTGTTAGCCTTAAAATGGGTGATTACTGATAAATTCAGGAGCTATCTCCTTGGCTCAAAATTTACAGTAATAACAGATAACAACCCATCATGTCATCTAAACACTGCTAAGTTGGGGGCTTTGGCACAGAGGTGGATGGCGCAACTTGCTGTTTTTGATTTTGATGTGCAGTATCGGCCAGGCCGGTGTAATGTCGCTGCTGATGCCCTCTCTAGGCAGCCATTAGCAGGGGAGCCTGAGCTGGATCCGGATGATGCAGAGTACGATAATTGTGTTGTAATCTGTAATGCGATTAACAGGGGAACCACCCTAGAACCAGATTTGGTTACTGCTGGGATGGAGAAGTACCAGATTAGACAGATCTGTGCTATTGACTCAGGAGGGTCAATAGTCAGCGAGGTCCAGGGGAATACGCTGACTTTGCCAGGATATTCAAAGGAACAGTTGTGTGTCTTCCAAAAGCAAGACCCAGCTTTAAGTGTATTTAGAACCTTCTGGGATAGGAAGCGGAAACCAGATGGTACGGAGAGAAAACGTTTGCCTAAACTTGTTCTGTTATGGTTGAAGCAGTGGGCGCGTATTACAGAGCGTGATGGGCTATTGTACCGAGCAGTGGAAGATCCGAGACATGGTGAGTGTCTCCAGTTGCTAATCCCAGTCTGCTTGAGGAATCAAGTGTTGGAAAGTGTGCATGATGCAATGGGACATCAAGGTGTTGAAAGAACTGTGCAGCTGCTGAGGCAGAGAGGGTTTTGGGTTGGAGTTTATGGGGATGTAGAGCAATGGATAAAGAAATGTCAGCGCTGTGTCTTACCTTGAACCAGCATCAGATGGTAGGGAGAATGTGCTGGTGATTACAGATGTTTTCACCAAGTTCACCCAGGCTTTCCCTACCCGGGACCAAAGAGCTGACACCACAGCTAAAATTCTCTTGCGTGACTGGTTTATGAGATATGGTGTACCAGAGAGGTTACACTCTGATCAAGGCTGGAACTTCGAGAGTGAGGTGATTTTTGAGCTATGTAAGTTGTATGGTGTTAAAAAGAGTCGCACTACCCCTCACCATCCGACAGGCAATGCACAGTGTGAGAGATTTAATAGAACGCTCCACGAGCTGTTGCGAACACTTCCTCCAGAGAAAAAACAGAGATGGCCAGTCCATTTACCAGAGATGGTATATGCATACAACGTTACCCCTCACTCAACGACGGGGTATTCACCATATTATTTACTCTTTGGGGTTGAGGCACATCTTCCCATTGATGCCTTATTAGGACGGGAGACATCTGAGAATGTGCATCATGACTGGTTGGCGGTGCATCAGAGGAGGCTGAGGGAGGCTCATGCCCGGGCAAAGGAGTATTTCGAGAAAGGGCTGAAAGGGCTGCTGCTCAAAGGGGCAAGGTGTATTGTCCACCAGTTGATGTTGGTTAGATGGTGTACCTGAGAAACAGGCCTCCAGGGCGAAATAAGATTCAGGATGCCTGGAGGTCCACTCCATACCAGGTAATTGACATACGGGGGACTACCTACACTGTAGAACCGGTGGGAGGAGGACCCGCAAAGAGGGTAAATAGAGTTGATATCAGGCTGGTTGTGCATGCTGAGGTGTCTACCCTGAAGGAAAAGGAAGTTTACCCAACTAGGGATAAGGTGGTACATCCCGCAGCTGACGATCAATCAGAATGCTGAGAATGGTGTACTGGTGGAGGAGTTAGTAGTTGGAAGACGGCACAATCAGAATCTACTCCTATGGATGCAACCTTGGACATGTGTGACACTCAGACTGAGTCTGAGGGGGATCCAGAGGTGATTGAATCGGATCAGGGTTCAGAACATGGGGCGGCACCCATTCCTGCTCCCCGCAGGAGTCGGAGGTGGAATGCAGGGCAACATTCTAACCCATACCATGACCCCCGATCGGTACTAGGTTCTGTGTCATTGAACCTGGCGGCAGTTTCCCACATTATAGCGAGCCTTGGGACAGTTCTCTTTAGGGAAGTTTTAGAGGAAGGGAAGAAATTCATCCCCGGTCAATGAGGACATCGACTGGTAAGCAGGGGAGAATGTAACCGGGTGGAAATACAGGGAGGAACGTAGTCCCTTTAAGGGAGTGACGCTGCGGAGTGAGGTCATCACTCTGCGTAAAGGGAAAGGGAAGCGTGTTTGGGTGTGGTGGACATGCGGTTACTGAAGAAAAGGGATCCACAGTTTGGTCTGAATTATTAGTGAGATATTTGGGGAAATCCCTGGGGTTTATTGTAACCAAAGAGAAATTGGAAGCGTCAGATTTAGGAGGACGTCGGATGAGGGAGGATTGAGCGTGGACGCGGTGGTGGTCTGGCCTGGTGAGCTCAGCAGGTGGTAGTTGCTGGGTGAAGAGAGGTGGTGAGGAAGCCACGTGTAGAGAAACGACTGATAAAAGGGGTAAGTGTTGGATGAACAGCGTAGTGCATATATAACATTTCATTATGGATAAGCTGAATAATGTATTTGTTTGGTTTGGCGCAGGACTGCCACTACTGTAATTGTACTGGGGATCTTTTTCATGTTTCTTTTTTATTATTTTCTACTTTCGAACGAGAATAAGAGGTGTATAAAACTTCTGGTTTGCCCGATTTAAGGGTCTTCTTAAATTTGGATTTTCTTACGGAGGGCAAATTGTAATTTTCTTTTCTTTATTTAATAAACGGGAAGGTTGAATTGTCCCGGTTCGGTGGAGATCCTGCATTGAATAAAAGATCCCACATAAAAAGTTGCTTGTTGTTTCGTGGATACCTTACCCGGCAACATATACATACAGTGTGTTTTGATGTACTGATTATTACCTAATAGATCCAGCAAGGAGTGGATTAAAGGCATAAAGCCAGTCATGCATCTCTTTGTCACAGCTGGCTTGGATCAGAATTCCACGATGTGCAGTGCAAACTGCAAATGTGTTAGGGGTCTATCACAAAAGTCAGAAAAAACAGTGTTAGAAAGCACAGGAAGGGGCATTGTAATAATTTAGTTCTGCTGCCTTTCATTTTTCAGGATACAGAATAGGTGACTCACTCTGAGCATGGCCTGCTGGTCTTCACTGTACTCAACCTGTGCTGACGATAGGTTGAGTATGGCCCTCTCCACACTGTCCTTGTCAGTGTTGTAAATATACACGTATGGCCGGCAGACCACCACATATCTCTTCACCCAACTGTTGGTATGTGGCTCAAGGAAATGCAAGTAGCCCTTTTTGGATACAATTGGGCTGCAAAATCAATACCAAGAGAGAAAATGAACATAATAAGTTAACAACTCTCAGGACCAGCCAACTGTTTTTGTATAGTTCTTGGCAAATACTCTATATATGTATACAAAACTATGGGAGGTATTTCCTGCGAAAAAGAATACAAAAAAAATAATAATACAACCTTCAGTTTTCCATTTAGTTTTGGCAGTCTATGTGCAATGATCCTACCAAAATTAAAAATTTAATTTTAATTTTCCACTCATATCTCTTCTGTGAAAAATTTAAAAAATAAAATTAAAACACCTTTTTGTCTTTTCATTTCATTTTCAAGATGCAAATATGTTAATTGGAACAGGGTAGTGAGCTGAACTCTAGATCACTGCTGCACTTTATCAGTGCGGGTGCGGGTTCTGTTGTCGTTGTTCTATGCACATGGTCGCCCGTATTGCCCAAACTAATGGCAAAGTCACACACGACTTAAGCAAGCTACTTATTGGCAGCTTCTGATTCATTTAGTTTCATATTCTTAACATTTTATTTCATGGTTTAAGTTCTTCACCCTGTTCTTACTCCCAGCTTCCTTAGAGGGGATTGTTTGCAGTGGCATATGCTGCACAGTTTCTAGCTAAGACATTTTGGAAATACAAAACAACATGAATTATTTTTTAAGCTATAGCACACATATTTCTGCACGTATGCCTTTGTAAGGAAACACTGAAATTAGCCTTGCCCAGACTGCCATGTTTCCAGCTAGGTAGCCTATAAAACCTACCTGGCTAGGTTAGGTGTGCTTGCTGTGTACTATGCATTTCATATTTGCCTTACCCAAGATGAATATAACCTCTTGCACAGCATGGCACAGGCAGGAAAAAAGGTGGCTCCAAGAAAAAAAGGAGCTTATTAAAGAAACAGAACACACTGGGGTAGACTACAAAACAAAAAAGTATCACAAGGAGTCAGTACTAAACAGGGGACAATAACTTACAGAAGCATACATACAACAGCTAATGGAGCCAGACAACCAGAAGAACAGGACTAGGCAAACAGGCTAAATATAACACACAGAACCATAAGTACAGGATTTAACACACAAAGTAACTTCTCACAATACCTCACTAAGGAAAACAAGTAGGCACAAAAATACGAATGGACAACCAGGCTAACGAGGGGGCAGGTGTGGCACATGAAGCAAAAACAACCAATCAGGAGAGACAACAGGTAGAGCAATTAAGAAGTACTAGCACAGGAAAATGGGCAACAGGTGGAACTAATAAAAAAGGATGATCACTGAACTAAGAAGCTTAAAGGCAAAGTAGAATAACTACAAAATCACAAAGGCACAAAACACAAACCAAATTAACACAAGGAGGGCAAACCACGGGAAGGAATTAAGACTTAGGAAGAGAAGATTAATTTTATAAACACCAGAAAACAACAAAAACTCAAATAAGCAAAACAAAACAGGTAAGGCTAGTTTTAAGCCAACCTCAAACCCACAACCAGCAAGTTCAGTGTTTGAGCCACCCGCTCAGCCCACTGAGCTATTCAGCAGTCTAGGGATTTCAGGAAAACACAAGGGCTGAAGGAAGCAACAGGGAGGAGGACAGGATGGCCAGTAACACCTGCTGGCCAATTGCGGGGGAGACACGAAAGGCAGGGTCAGACAGGTGCTGACCGTGACAACCTTCACATTCCATTTAGAAATGTGGTTTCTTATTCAAGTCAACATACAATTGCTCAAATTGCCATGCTACCAGTTTACTGTTATGAAAGAAAAATCAGATTATGCCTGGGAAACTCCACCATTTACAGGGAGATTTGTGAAATTCTTATATTAAATAAATATACGTGCTATTGCTTAAACATTTCATTCATACGTTATTCTGTATTTTCAACATGTCTTGAATATAAACTGTGTAGCATTCCCCTTTAGTGATACTGCAAATAAGAAGCTAACTTAAGCTGTGGAATAAGACTATGAATAAGAAGCTAAATGAATGGGAAGCTACAAATAAGGAGCTAACTTAAGCTATGTGTGACTTTGCCATTAGTTTGGGTGACATGGGCAACCATGTGCAAGGAACACAATGACAACAGAATCCGCAACCACACTGCGAAAGCGCAGCCCTGATCCATAGCTCGCCCATTGCCTTGCTCCAATTAACATATTTGCATATTATGAACTTGAAAATGAAAACATGAAGTAGAAAATGAAAAGTCAAATTGGAAAATGAAGGTAAAAAGTATTTTTATCTTTTAATTTTTTTTCCACAAATGAATCATGCATGAGTGGAAAATTTAAATGCAAATGCTATTATTTAATTTTATTTCTAATATTGGCAGGATCGTTGCACATAGACTGTCAAAACTAAATGGCAAAGTTGCGATTATATTATTATGCTAGTATTATCAATTTTGTTTTCTTTTTGGCAGGAAATACCTCCCATACAAAGTAAAAATATTCCTCTGAAATTAATTTATTATAATGAAAATATAAACAAAATCATGCAGTGCCAAAGTCTGTGTTTGTAGGTACAGCTAAATTAGCTGAATATACAATTCTGACAATTATAGAAACTTGCCAAGGGAACAGTACCATGAAATATAGGGTGTGGTGCAGTCAATAGGCCAAGAATGTAATCTAAATGCATCTAGTACTTCACTGTGGTGGTAGTCTGTAGTGTTCAATACCTCTCACCTCACACGCGTTTCCTGAATGTCAGGTACAAAGGTTTGCATTCTTGTCTCAGGCTTCAGGACTCTACTGGGAGAATTCTTTATCTGTCCCTTAAGCAGGAAGTCAAGATCAGGGCTAACAATTTGCGGACATAGCACTGGGGTTCTGAAAGACAACACCGCCCTTTAGTCAGTATTGTTCCACATGTTCCATAAATATCTCCTTTGCTGGAGATTTCAATGTACCTGTTGCACATGGTCAACAGAGAATCCTGGCAGTCTTGCTGTTTGAGCCAACCACACCCACCTGAGCTCTATGTTTCTATAGTGCCCATCCACCAATGAGGGGCATGTGGAAGAAGGGGTCAGTGTACTCAGAGCAGAGGTTGAGGAAGTGCCCTTCAGCAAAGTCACTGACATCTCAGACAACTGAAAATTAATGAGGACACATCACATATGAACTTATGGACATGTATTTGGGGCTCATAATACATCAAATTAATCTCATTTGTAGAAATCACAAAAGTACAAAATGCACATGGGTTTGTCTGATATGTCCTGATGTTCTAGAAAAAGTAACCATTAATAATCTTAGATATACAGCCTTGGAAAAAATGAAGAGATAACTCTATATTTTTAAACAAGTCTGCATTTTTAAATCATGGTTTAATTGTGGTTCTGCTAGCGTAAGGCTACGCTGAGAACCAGGATGCTTTCAGGTTCAAAATTTCTAAGACAGCAGTACAGAAAAATAAGGTGAAGCAAGAGAAGCTGCGAACGACGAGAAACCAGCCAGGTAAAAGGCGGAAGCGACATTCTAATGCCAGAGATGACCGTTAACTTGTCAGTTTCTCATGACTCGAAGAATGATATCAAGTGAACTTCAAAAGGAATGGGAAACATTAAGTGCAGGTTTGAGGTGCACTGCTAGGATAGTTTGTATCAGGCTCCTACAAGCAGGACTGAGGTCCCATAAAGCAAGCAAGAAGCCCTTCATTAATGAGAAAAAGGGAAGAACCAGATTGCAGTTTGCAAAACAATATATATTATTCACAGTGGCGTAAGCAGTGAACTTATACTGGGACTCGCTGTACCCCAGTGACCCCTATTGACCTAGAATTACCTTGCTTTCGCTGGCACTGATGCATACGTGACTAAACTCTCTGTTGAAGGTATGAGTGAGAAGCCGCAGGCACTGTAGACACAAATGGCACAAAAGACAAAGATCTCTCAGAAAATCAGATGCAGTTTCATGGGTGAATCACCTGGTAAATGGCTGATAACAATCACTGACCTTGGTAGCCAGCTCTCTCTGCCTCTCACTGGGCTGGTACAGGGTAAGCGGGTTCTCCAGAGTGGCTTTGCCTGAGGGGGATTGTTGGGAGAGCCCCTCCTTCTTGTTGGACTCATAGCCCTGCATCAGTGTGGCTTGCAGCTTCTCCCTCAGGAGCAGGTAGTGCCTCGTTTTCTCTACCTGTAAACACAGATGTGGAGTACCAATGAGAAGATGTCTTAATGTCAAATGACATGCAGACACAAGTCAAGTGTGAGCACCATTATATAGACTTTACATTTTATTATAGACTCAATCTATGTTGATATATTTGCTAAAGTATCATGTCTATTCAAATCTTCATACTTTCATTTTTACATCCAGCATGAGCTAATGTTAGGCAAAGCAATGCCACAAGCTGGATTTCTGATACCTACCAATAAAGCCCAAGGTAATGAAACCCTGGTTCACCTTAATGACACTTATCTTCTCAAAGTTACACAGCATTATAAACATAAGGCTGCGCTTATACTTGTCACCTCCTGCAGGAGGCTGAGTTTCTCCAGCTCCCACTGATGGTCTAGGATGAGGCTGTCACTACGGGGTCTCCAACCAGCCAAATTCTCCTCCCCACGCACATATGCCACCGAGGTGTCTAAAACTCTCCTGCGCCTCCTCTGCATGCCTAGGAGACAACCAGAAAGGGCATTCACAGAGGTCTCCTGCATACATTATGATTACAAATTCTGAGGAGAACGGTTCTCTACCTGGACTTCCAGCATCTCCTAGACGACAGAGGCAAACTTCATATACACCAGTAACACGACCGCTAAATACAAATTAAAATGAAAAGATTTATTACTTGTCAGTTTTAAGTAAATTTCTATTTTAGATATTGTGATATAGGGCACTGCCTAAAAAAGTTTATCAGTCATCCAAAGTTTGATTGGTCTTCACCTCTCTGATGCCTTCAGATTGCCACTGCCAAAAAGATTGCGGATTGAGCGGGAAGCAGCCGTTTTGGCATTCCGCGGGTAAAACACCATGCAGAAGTCCTTATTTATCACTGCTGGCTGAGTGCACTTCTCCATCTATAATCAAAATCGAGTAAAAATTTCACATTTACTGTTATGAATGGCCACTTTCCTATATATCAGTCTATTATTGCAGGTCCTTTTACCTCCAAATAAGCAGACAGTGTCATGTAGATTTTCTCGCCATATGAAGTAACACGGTTCAGCAGCAAGGAGTTATGCATGGAGCTATCCCATGCTGCCTCAAAGCGGAAAAAGGTCCTGTGAAGCATTGCACATGTAATGTTACACAACTGATTTCTGATACAGAGGACAAGAAATGAAATCCCTACAGTTACTGAGCAATCATTTATGGAAATCACCAATACATTCTAAAGCAGGGGTCACTAACCTTTTTGAAACTGAGAGCTACTTCACGGGTACTGAGCCATACGAAGAGCTACCATGTATGAAATACCCTCCTAAACTTATCTAAACTTCATGTATAATAAACATGTTTTAAATGCTTTTTTTAGATATTATCATTTTCAAATCTATATAAATGAAAATATGATTAAAGAAGAATGGCAACAGGATAAAATTTAATTTAATTTTAGACACTGCTCACTCGTGGCTATTTTTAGAACAAGTCTGCGGGCGACTCATGTGGTCCTTGGGGGCATCCTGGTGCCTGAGGGAACCATGTTGGTGACCCCTGTTCTAAAGACATGCAGAAAATACTGATTTCAATGAGTAATGCTTATTTTAGAAATACTTGTTTAAAATAAATCAGTAAAGAAACATTGCCTAATTTCTATAGAATATCTTCACAGTTTTGTCTACCATATTCCCCTAAACGTACTTCTTCCAATTTTACCTAGAAACAATGACCTGTACAATTCACTTGAAAAACAAACAAATCTGTTAGGGGGAGAAATATAAAAGATAAGAAAACACAATAAGTTGGTTGTGTAAATATACACACCCTTAAACCAATACTTTGTTGAAGCATCTTTTGATTTAATTACAGCATCCTGTTTTTTTGGGTATACATCTGCCATCAATTAAAGTGATTCTGATTAATCCCAAATAAAGTTCCATTGTCCTAGTAGGATTTTCCTGACATTTACTCAGTTACATACTACAGCAAAAGCCATGGTTCGCAGTGAGCTTATGAAGGTATCTCATTGTTGAAAGGTTTCAGTCAGTAGAAGGGCACAAAACCATTTCCACAGCATTGGATATACCATAGAACACATTGAAGACAGTCATCAAGATGTGGAGAATATATGGGACAACAGTGACATTGCTGAGAACTGGACATCCCTCCAAAACTGGTCAGGGAGGCTGCCAAGAGGCCCACAGCAACACTGAAGGAGCTGCAGGAATTTTTGGCAAGTTCAGGTTATGTACTGTACTACATGTGCCAACAATCTGTTGTATTCTCTATATGTCTGGACTAAGGGGGAGGGTCGCAGGACAGAAGCATTTTCTTACAAAGAAAAACATCCAGGCCTGGCTAAATTTTGCAAAACAAAATACACCAAGTTTCCCATAAGCATGTGGGAAAATGTGTCATGGTTGAAGGTTGAACTTTTTGGCCACAATTCTAAAAGGTATGTTTGGCACAAAAACATGACTGCACACCACCGAAAGAACACCATACCCACGGTGAAGCATGGTGGGGGCACATCCTGTTTTGGGGTTGTTTTTCTTCAGCTGGAACTGGGCCTTTAGTCAAAGTGGAGGGAATTATGAACAATTCAAAATACCAGTTAATTTTGGGCCAAAACCTTCTGTGCTAGAAAGCTGAGGATGAAGAGGAATTTCACCTTTCAGTATGACAAAGATACCAAGCATACATCCAAATCAACAAAAGAATGGGTTTGTCAGAAAAAAATTTAGGATTAGGAATGGCCCAGCCAGAGTCAAGACCTGATGCCAACTGAAAATCTGTGGGGTGACCTGAAGAGGACTGTGCTCAAGAGATGCCCTCGTAATCTGACAGATTTGGAAATCTTTTGAAAGGAAGAGTGGGCAAATATTGCCAAGCCAAAATGTGGCATGCTGATAGACTCCTAACCAAAAAGACTGAATGCTGAATTTAAATCAAAAGGTGCTTCAACAAAGTATCAGTTTAAGGTTGTGCACACTAATGCAACCAGCTTGTTATACGTTTGTTGTTTTTTATATTTTGCCCCTAATATATTTCTTTGTTTTTCAATTGAATTGTACAGGTTAATATTTACACTGACAGGAACTCATAAAGTTCACCATTCAAGTAATAAACAATACAGTAGCAGTTATATTTAATTTGCCTTATTCAAAAATTTGATAGTCATAACAATTGGGTCATAATATACCCACACACAGACATATTATTTACTTTGCAACATCATTTCCTCTGACTGCCTAAGACTTTTTCACAGTACTGTAATTTGTAGTTTTCATATATACTGTACATACATACATACATTTTTCGGACATTTTGGCTTGAGCAAACAGCTCATCTCTTAACTTCAACGAAGAAGAAGGAGTATTCAGCTGCCCCCTCCCGCACCCCAGTACAACCAAGCCACTATCTAAAGCAGCCATGATATCAAGCAGTTTCCTCTGCCACCAGCTAACCCCTAGATCACCTCAAATACCCCAGGGCTCTTTAGGAGAATTGCTTTCTTAAAATATTAAGGTGGAGAAAGTAGAAAACACAGCATAAAAAAACTGGGAAATGAGTGCAGATAGAAACTGACTGAGCCTCAAACACAAAATTTATTTTTTTTAAATAAATAAGTAGGGCATTTGAAAGAAATACCTGGGCATATCCGAATCGAGGAACTGTCTGCAAAACAAAAACAAAACAAAACGCTGTTAGTGGATTGAATTGGAGAAAAAGGCAGAAATATCAACAAGGCACCACATATCTGAGTCTGCCACTAACTTGAGACAGCATCTAGCTTTCAGTGTCTAATTAAATACTTTTTCCTCTTTTGAAAATGGAGCCAAGGGACTTGGCTGGTTGGAGAATGAAAGGGAAGCTCTAGCAAAAAGTAGCATAGATATCATAAGATTTAAATATAGAATTTAAATACATTTCTTGCTTAAGATTCCATTCAAGATTAAAATTGCAATAAGTATAATGAATGCATGTCCTGACTAATACAGAAGGAATTGAACCTGAGAAAATCACAAGAGATAACTAGTAGTGATAGCAAGTGAAGATGTCTGTGATATTTAGATCAATAATGTAAATGTGACAAAACTGCTTTTGTTATAAAGAGTCAATGTAAATGTATAGGAAATTAGGTTCTTAAGATGATTCTGAAATTCCATATTTCTTTCATATATGTTTCACTAATACACATACAGAGATCCAAGGGCAGAATTTGAACCTCAAACTAGCTGAAGTTCTAATCCCAGACTACAATTTCTAATATAAAGTTAGAAAATGTGTTTTTTTTACCACAGAGTATTAAACACTGGCCCAAACACCAGCCTAGTTATCATAGCTAACCAGAACATATTGATATAAATGATTCAGTTTTTGTAGATGTTCCTTATGCTTCTTGCAGTATTTTATGCACTTATTTTTGAAAAGATAGTTGTCAGATGTGCCACTTTTTAATTTTTCTTTTTTTTTTGGTTCAATTTGGCTGTTTTTTTTATTTATTTTATTGAAGAAAGTAAACAGACATACATTTTATCAGTATGTTCTATACAGAAAGTATATACAGGTCAAATGCGAAAAATTAGAATATCGTGCAAAAGTTCATTTATTTCTTAAAAGGTGAAACTAATATATGACATAGACTCATTACATGCAAAGCGAGATATTTCAAGCCTTTATTTGTTATAATTTTGATGATTATGGCTTACAGATTATGAAAACCTCAAATTCAAAAGCTCAGAAAATCAGAATATTACATGAAATCAATAAAAAAAAAAACAATTTTAAATAGAGAAATGTTGGACCTCTGAAAAGTATAATCATGTATATGTACTCAGTACTTGGTTTGGGCCCCTTTGGCATGAATTACTGCCTCAATGCAGCTTGGCATGGATGCTATCAGCCTGTGGCCCTGCAGAGGTGCTATGGAAGACCTCGCTTTGCATGTAATTTGCATGTAATTAGTCTATCACATTAGTTTCACCTTTTTAGTTAAATTACTGAAACAAACTTTTGCACGAGATTCTAAATTTTAGAGTTTCAATTGTACTTCAATCACAATTTACGTTGCTTCTATTTTTCTGATTTCTGTTTTTAACTAAACAAAAATATTAGTAACACAAGAAACAACTATTTACACAACAAGGGAAGATAGTCTTAAAACTTGCTTAAAATTGCAAAATAGTAATAATAAACATCATCATCAAAATTAAATAACTTCAGACAATATCAGAGGAGAACATACCATCAAATTTCTAAATTCAGTAATTTTGAATTTTTACAAAATTGGATCTCAATGGTTTACTATATTTTACCCATTTAGACCAGTATTTATCAAATTTAGAAATCTGTAACTGAAGGGAGAATGTTAATTTTTCTATTACATGTATATTATTTACTATATCAATCCAGGAGGAGCCACTTTTTTGTAAAAGCCTTTTCGCTTGCTGCAGGTGAACAACCTTTTCTAAAATTTTGCATAAGAAAGGGAGTTTAGATGAGCCTGTAATTTGTAAAATACAAGGGCTCAAGGTTAGGCTTTTTTAGCAGCTCCTCAACAGCAAGATTAAAATAACTAGGGACACAGCCAGATTGCAAACAACAATGAATGATATAGACCAATGTAGGACCTACAGAATCAATCACCCGTAAAAGTACTGATGTCAGCAACACATCTAGTGAACTAGAAGAAGGTTTTAATTTAAGGATTAATCTTATTTAGTGAAACAGGAGAAAAAGAAATAAAGCACGATTGACTCAGAGGTACACTGTATAATGGCATAGGTGTAAAAGGAATGGTAGATTTAATATTCTTAATCTTTTCCACAAAATAATTAAGAAAATCATTACAATCTCTTACAGAGTGGACCACAGTGTTGTAAGGGGCTGGGGAAATGAAATTTGAAATAGTATTAACCAGGGAGAGGTATCAATAGCCAATCTATGTCTAATTTTAAAAGGGACAACTTTATCCAACAAATTTGAACAATGATTGTTAAAACGCTGAACCATCATGTCTAAGTTACAATCACTGGCAACCATAGTATTGCTAAATGCATTAGCAAACCTAGTAACCATGGTTTCATTGATTCCTGTGTAACAGCTGTAAAATCAGAAT